TAGTATGTTACTATAGTTTTAAAACCTCAACCTGAAATTCTGATTGATGAAATTCGATCAGTGCTAAAAACTAATCAATTTTGATGTTGGCTACAATTCAGTAAATCATCAATTTCAAACACCTTAGTTTTACAACAGACTAGCGGTCACCTGAATAGCTCAATAATAACCTCTAACATTGCGCAACTGAATGAATCGATTTTAAATCCCACAGCAAGGATAAGTTTCCTGTGGATTGTACGTACATCTTGTTAATGAATATTGAATAACATGGAACTTGGGCCGAACAGTGCTTTCTGACGACTATCTTCAATTGGTTATCATTGGAATGGATCTCAGTCCACAGTGATTGAAAAGTTTGCGAACAATATAGAGACTAGTTTATTTAGATATTCTCCATGTAATATGTATTATAGTGGTATAATCAATCTATAGATTGTCAACGTGAATCGTTTATTTTGATTGATTCGGTTGAGAATGTTTGTGTTAGAATATGATAATCTATGGGTCAGAATTATTCATTACTGTGCTTTATTCACAAAGGAATACATTAGTTATATAGTTAGATGGTAATGAGAATTGTTCAGTTCTCGTTTAAATGTGATAATGTTTATTCTCCCCCCCCCTCGAAAAAACACTTTGCCTGTGCTAAGTTCGAGAACAGATTTGAAAATCTCATTTGGTGAAATAATATTCAATGTCAAAATATCTTCGAAGAATAATTATGTAATTCATACATTTTCAAAAATATAGAACAGATTAACTAAGACCACTGAAGTTGAACACAGAAAACTAAACATCCCTTCTTTATCATATGGTACGGCGAGACTATAATTTATGGACAAACCAATCAGAAATGAGAATACAGGTCTCGAATTTTGGCGCGAAATTCACTTTTCCATTTGGTTAAATAGAGTTTTCGCATTATAGCTAATGTCAGTTTGTGATAAAAAAAACCTAAATCATAATTCCTAACCTTAACTATCAACTGTAAATTATAAATCGTATTCCTTACACTGGTTTATAGTCTTCATTTGGTCCTAGTTATTAGGTAGAGGTCACTCAAGGTCACTTTAGTGTCGTTCAAAGGTCGTCCATGAATTATAGACTCACCGATGTGAATGTTGAGATGGAAATTACCGCTGAACTATTGATTATTGATCATGGAAGCAGAACGAATGATCATAAGTTGTGAGGATAAAATAATAATAATAGTAATAAAACAACTAAAGCATACTAATAACTTTGAAATCTAACGCGGTTAATATTTTGTATAATACAAAAAGGTTCAATCTATCCAATAAAATGATGTTTTAAGAAATCATTAAAGAGTCATTATATTAAAACAACTTCACCTTCATCAAACACCATTATTAAGAATATATTATGTTATATATTGAATATAAGAAAAGAACATCCTAATCAACTTAATTCATTGAAGAAGTGTAATTTTTTTTATAAAACATAGTGAGAGGATTATATTCAATGTGTTTACCTGTGGTTTGTAACGAATAAGCACTGAAGATGTCTAATTTATTAAAGTGAATATATAGGTTTATTATTATTATTAGTAGTAGTAATAGTACTGTTTATGAGGAGTGAAGATTTATTTGTTGACACATAATAAAAGGAAGAAAAACACACTAGAAACAAAATCCTGGAGTTCTAGTGCGAAGCTGTGATCAATTAAGTTTAACTGGGTCTGTTGTGAGATAGTAACTCACTGATGACAATGGTGGACAGTGGCTCAACTTCGTCAATTGGTTGAAGTTTAACATTAACACCGTTGGATGCTAACCGGTTCAGTGGTCTAGAGGTTAAGCGCTCGAGAATGGCACTGATAGGTTTTGGGTTCGAGTCCTGCGAGGTGAGACCATGGATTCGCACTGCTGAGGAGTCCCATGCTAGGATCAAGCGGCCATTCAATGCTTCCAGGTTTTTCATGATGGTCTAACTTCAATTAAGTCATGAATTCAACTATTAAAATTACTATAATATTCACAAAACTCCTCTTTGATTACAAATAAAGATTTGTTGAAGATTATTTTAATTTATAGAAGGTATTCATTATGGATTGAATTTATTTGAGGTACAATGAACAATTAAGTAGCATTAGATAACGCTAGTTATTTTTCAATTTTTCTTCAGTCAGTTTCACTATGTGATGTAATATTCTCCTAAAAGATTGATATCTCATAAAGAGTACAAAATGAAAGATTTGAAATGTTTAACATTTGTTTTTCTACACCAAACCATTTATTAATAATGTATAAAATATGTTTGAATTTCAGTTAGGTTGTCATTTGCAAACGCTTTAACATTCACTTATTGGGATAGAATAATATTCTGTAAAATACGTTCATACCTTCACTTGAGGCGTTTCTAAGGCTACTATCGGTCCGGAACCCAAATAAAAGAGGAGAGCTGAAAATGGGATTAGTAACACCATTTGGTAGGAGACAATCTTGCTAAAGAAGACTTACCACAAACAAAACCATGTGAACGATTCAAACCCTGATATGGGAGTTGAATGATATTCATACTAGAAGGGTTATAACGCCTCACGGAGAAAACTGGCATTTATCAGATACCACAAGGCTGATACCTGTTTTGACATTCAGATCAACAGTTAATATAGGTATATAGAATGTCCGTATAATATGGAAGGCCGAAATGGCCAATTAAGTAGCTGTGGAAATTAGAGGACACAAATTGGTGATACTCGGAATAAGTAAAACCTATTGGACACAGGCTGAGCAGAAAGCATTAGATTTGGAAGAGATGCTGTCGTACTCTGGTCATGAAGAAGGAAATATTTCGCACATACAAAGAGTTACACTGATGCTGTCCAAAGAGGCACTAACAGAATTTGTGAGATGGGGAGCTCATGGATCCAGAATCATCAAGACATCCTTCTAAACAATGAAAAACGGGATTAGAAAGAACTCCATCCGGAACTATGTTCCCACCAATGATAGCAACGTAGACGACAAAGATCAGTTTTATGAGAACTGAACCCATTGGACATCGAAGCATTACACACAGAACTTCTAGTACATATCACACCACTAACGGTCGAAGTAATCAGGATGGCTACCAAAAAAATTAAGAGTGGTAAAGTAGCAGGACCTGACAATGTACCTGCTAATCACTAAAGTCAGACACAAAAGTAACTGCAAAAATGCTCCACATTCCATTCAGGAAGATTTGGGAGGAAGAACAGGATCCAACGGACTGAAAGGAAGGACACCTCGACAATATATCAATAAACGGAGATCTGAGCAAGTGTGGGAACTACAGAGGCATCACATCACTATCGGTACCAGGAAGTGTTTTCAACAGAGTGCTGCTGAACCGGATGAAAGGTTTGGTAGACGACCAACTTAAAGATCAACAGTCTGGATTCCGTAAGGATCGGTCGTGCACAGACCAAATCACGACACTACGGATCATAGTTGAGAAGTCGGTCCAATGGAACTCGACATTATATATCAACTTCCTTGAGTATGAGAAAGTGTTTGACAGTGTGAATAAGAGAAATTTGTGGAACCTTGTTCGAGACCATTGTGTACCTCAACACCATACGTAACCTACATGACGGACCACACTGCAAATTGGTGCATGGAGGACAGCTGGCAGATGCAGTCCAAGTGAAGAACGTCTTCAGACAAGGCTGGTTGCACTCACCTTTTCTCTTTCTTCAGTTGGTCGATCGGATTATGTAGACCTCAATATTTCAGTAGAAGCACGGAATACAATGCACAGCTTGGATGGATCGTGACGATTTAACTTTGCAGATGGCCTAGCCCTTCTATCTCATACACACCGAAGAATAAAAGTCAAGACAAACAGTGTAGCAGCAACATCTAGAGCAGTAAGCCTCAGCATACACAAAGAAAAACGAAAGATCCCGATGTTCAGCACAGGAAACACCAACTAGATCACACTTGGTGGAGAAGCTCTGGAAGTGGTGGAGAAGTTTACTTTTACCGACAGCATCATCAGTGAACAAGGAGGATCTAATGCAGACTATTCTCTAATGAGAAGAAATTATTATTCAGATAAACTAAACGAGTAAATGAGTAAATTATCTTTTTTTCGTAAATGCAGTATCCAATGGATGAATGAATAGTGAGATTGCTACAAATTTTATGCATACAAATACATAGAGAAGAGATAGAGATTTAAAGACTTGAAAGATATCAAAGTGTTAAACAATGCCGGATGAGAATGTTTTCAGGACCTCTTCCCTTGTATCAACGAAAACTTAATTCGCACGAATCTATCTGCTAATAATTTGACTGAACTGGAAAAATCTGAGAATCAAATTAGAAATAACAGTATATGCTATTCTCAGCAACTAACAAATCAATATTGAAAATATCAGAATATTACACAAAGACTTTTTTAATCATAGACTGAAACGTGTCACTGAGACATCCCATAGAAACGCTAAATCTCTTTAACCTAAAAAGAAACAGAAGCCTGACTATCCATACAAATTAAACTATTTATACAAACAACCACATTTAATTTTATTCATTTTTCACACCATACACTCACGTAAATTTCAGCTTTACTTCTTCAACTACAGATTTAACAATTTAAACATCTACTAAGACACATACAACTACAGATGGTGATGTTTCATATAGACTTCTACCTGAAGTTTGTGCCGATTATGTCGTTTAGAAGAATGATGAAAGCTTCACGATCAAACCATTCAGCTCAGAGAACAAAACTTCATCAAACTCATCAATAGTGCTCATCTACAACCCTGGATCTGGGAGTTGAATCCACTGCCTTCAATCTAGCAAGTAAACACTTAACCTACCTGTTCCTTCACAATATTTAAACCGACCCTAATTCAATCCGGTCATTTATTTATTTGCTCGGAAAATGTAGCTTATATTAAGTCACAAAACGTCAACACATTCTAATTTCTACTTATCGAAATATCAAAAACAAAATAGACCTCTATATTTTTCTAATGAAAATACCTGATTGTTTGGTGTTAGTTTGTAATCTGCTATAAATAATTGATCACGTGTCTCTGTGCCCGGTGTTCGGTTAGATTTTTCTAACAGAGTCGATCTCTGTGAAAAAGAGATTAAAAAGGAAATAAGAAAACAATATTTAGTTTATTTTACTAAAAGTTCGTGTGTATATGGTTTATTTACGTAATAATACCAGGGGGGTACATTTTAGTAATTTCTGTCAACGTTAAATGTTATACTATGTATAAGTTGTTGAGTCGGCTTTCTGAGAACTGCAACGGAGCCAGAAACCCTAAAGGAGCCGAAGAGTCCTAGCCAATCAGAGCATGATGGAGCACTCTGGAATATTAACGTGGCGTGCTACTATTGTTTAGTAGCATAATATGTCGTTTAGCGGATTGGCCAAAATGATGTTGATTTAACAAATGTTAACATCTATAAATTCCCGTGTTTCTCTATACAAAAATGAACCTTTGGAGTAAAGTACTTCTCGCATAATTTGCGAGTTCAGGTTGCTGTATAGTTCTAGCTTGGGGGTTACAGAATAGCTTAGGAAACGAATATAGAGTTCAATCCGCAAGACTTATCGTAAGTCTTGTGTTGTATGTTAATGGGTCGATCTTGAATATTATGATCTATTCGAGTAATGGTGAAAATAATTGTTTCCACTACCATGTATATATAATATTTACATAATATAATTAAGTAGGTCGAGGCCCACTATCGTTAATAATTACTTCTTTGATTATAATAAAACGTAGATGAATTGAGTTCTGCCAAGATTTGACTTAGGTGGCTGATTATTATAAGTCTTGTGACAATAAGTTTGGCTCCAGATACCGGATAAGAACATCAGTCCTTTGTTAGAACGTGTTAATAAGACATAAACACAATAAAAACGATTCCCAATGTTATTAGATGTATGAGATCTAATCAATGAGATAAATCGATTATTCTACTAATGTCTTAAGTGACAATACCAATCATGATAGTTGTATAAGGTGGAGCTAATGTATGTCAGGTGTGAGACATCCACCAAAGACAACCAATGATGGTGGCACGATGTCGTGAATCGATTGTGGTTAGATGCTAACACCGCTGGATGCCGGATAGCAAGCGTATTTCATTTTTTCTAAAGCCATAGTTTGGATAAAGTTGTATTTTTCTCATTCCCTATACGTTGTAGTTTTGTTAGTTATATATTCATTCATATGCCTATTTTGAGTTGTTCAAATGAGGAGTAAGTCGGATGTACTGTTCCAATTAAATTACCTTCCCATTCGTCTTCCCAACCAATCAGGTCAGCAGTGGGATAGTTTCTTCTCTCTGACCTCAAGGTAGTTCATTCACAAATGGAATTCACGTGGTACAAGTCTCATGGTTATAACATATCATCTATTAAGTCAACACTGAACACAACATCTTCCATAATGACAATAAATACTCCACAATCAAATTAACTTTCTTACAAAACCTAATAAAACCGCAATAGATTAACAATAACGATAGCACTTACTTGTAATGAATGAAGACTAGTTACTTGTCGTTCTGGCGAAACACTTATTTCTCTTTTGTAATTCGGTGATTGATATTGATTGTTTATCTGTACAAACAAAACATAAAGCAAATATATTTAGCTTGTATTTTCCACAGCTTAATCTTAATTGAGGTGTCATTTGAAACTTTTATTGATAAAGTGAAGGGGTGTCTTGTCCTTCTTACCAGTGAGCATCTATAATAGTATTGAGAGAACAGAAAGCGAATGTTCGGCTCTTTAACCGGTTTGATAGACACGGAGAGTCTACCTAGGAGAGTTGAAAAACTCTGATTCCAAACCAATCGTGCACATGGGCTCCGTATCTTAAAGGAACAAACGGCGTATAAACCTATTGTTGATCACCGGCTACCATGTGACTGCATCACCTTACGATGCTCCACTACCTTGTGGATCAGACCTATAGGTCGAAAGCTCCGGGTAGTATCCTAGCCCTCAAACAAATCGAATGATTAATGTGGTGCATATGTGTTTGGTGTCCTTTTGTACCAATGTTTATGTGTTTAAATAAATCAATAATAATAAACAGTCAAATAAAAATATCCATAGTAACATGTTTTTTTGATTAAGATCATGAACCGATTGATGTTAGATCACTATTGAAAACATGAATTTCCCTACGAAGATATATCCTACAAACTATATTCCATTATCTTAAATTCACTAACCTTAGTACAATGTATTTGTTCTGTATTTGGTTCTGTTTGTTGAACTGTAGGTGAATAATTATTTCCTGCTGTAGTTTTTAATTGTTGTTTAATTACAATATGATCTTGTGCAGTATGTATTTGTTTTGGTGGATTAGTTTTATGTCGTTTTAATTTTGGAAATTTCGGTGGCCAATTATATACTTCACTACATTTATATCGTTCTGTAATAATTTTTGGTTTACGCGGTTTCAATGTACCACCATTATTATAATGATGATCAAATTCATTAAATGACATAGTTGCGGCTTGATATGTTGGTTGATAAACACGAGGTCTTGTTGGATAATCTGTATACTAAATAGATTAGAAAAATCGATATACAATGATTATGTAAACATAAATAATATGAATCAGAAGGGGGGTTATGTGGAGATTTTAGTAATTTCATTAGTTGAGATCATGAGTCAATTGAAACTAGACAACCATGGAAAACCTGGAAGCACTGGATGGCCGTTTCGTCCTAGTATGGGACTTCTCGGCAGTGCGCATCCACGACTCCGCCTCACGGGATTGGAACCCAGGATCTATCAGTCTCTCGCGCAAGTGCTTAATCACTCGACCACTGAACCGGTTGGCATCCAACGGTGTTGAATAATCACTTTGTTTATCTAATCATACTTAGATTTAAAAGATTAATGATTGTCCATTTATCTTTTACAGTTCAATGTATTTACGATATTTCCTTCCTGTGGTATATTAAACTCATTAAGTAAATAAAAGAACTGATATTCGGTAGGAAATCTTAACTGACAGTTCTGACTAAGGTAAGAGCATATGGACTGAGACCTTCATGTAGGTGTACAATCTAACTGTTTTGTTATTCTGCACCAACCACGTAAGCTTATAATGGGATTAGAGCATAGATATTTGATATTCTTTATAATCAATTAATCTATCACATTCCTCTACTAAAAAGTGTATCTTTCATTTGCCGTTCAATTGTACGCATTGAAGCCAAGGAACATTAGAGTTAAGCTTTAAAATATTTGTGAAGTTTTATATTTTTAATTGTAGAGAACTAAAGTGTTTGCAAAGATTGTTGTCATTGTATTTTCTTTTAATTAACGAAGGGAACTAACTATATTTCAGAAAGACATTGTATGATGTAAGTTTGAGTCCCGTTGGACCGTCTTATTTTCTCAAGATAGCTAATACAAGTTCAAAACTAATACGAGATCTAAATGAAGCAATGCTTTCTATGTAGTTCTTTTGATGAACCGACATATTATTGATTAAATCTTGATAGAAGCCAGCACTAGGATCTAGGAATCAAATCTCATCTTATTTATGACTTGTTGGCCAGATGTATTTACATACCACATAGATATGGAATACAAACTATAATAAATCTATTTAATAGATCATTTAGTATAGAACTAAGTATCTTGATTTATTCATGTAGAGTGAAAATTATGACAGAAAGACAATTTTTGTTGATGGAGTTTTGTTCTCTGAGCTGGATGGTTTGGTCGTGACATGGAGAAAATATAGTTGTTCCCAGAGAACAAAACTTCATCAAAATCATCTATCTGAGCTACAAATCTTCTCCATCATCTCAAGACAATTGTTCACTTTACAGATAATCCAAAATTTATTCGATTTGAAGACTGTCATAACTATTGTTACCATTTTAACAATTAATGATTACATTTTTGTATTGGTTGTTTGAATCTTTCCAATGATGTTTAGGATTGTAATTGATCAGCCTCTGTTATTGGCATATGTGTATCCTATGCGGATTGCCTTGATATGGCTATTAAATTACAAGCATTATAAACAGAGATGGATAGTGGCTAGCAGTGAAATTCAAGACGCACTTTTCGTCCTATTTTGCACTCATCAGATGGATGCGCCTACATCCTAGAGTTCAAGTCTCGGAGTCAACAACAATCCCAAGATGTAGATACATCCAGTTGACGAATCCCAAAATAGGATGAGACGCAAGTCTTGGATTCTATCGCTAGCCACCATCCATTTTTGTTTATAAAAAAAACAATTTATTGTATAAGTTTTATAATGCATGACACGAACTTACATGATGATAATTGTTAGCAATAATAAAGAATATATGGAATAACACCAGTGTATTAAAAGATAACACACATAGCATAGATAGAAGACAGTAAAAGATAATCTAAGCATTGTTTAAATCATAATTATAAAGATAATGATAAAGATTAAGGTTTTATTAAAGTTATTAATGGATATATAGTATGGGAGATTTGTGAAGATTGTTGACCTTTATAATTTGTATCCAAGACTGATATAAGCTATAAAACCACTAAAACATAACCCTGAAATCATTTTATAGCTCTTCCACATCGGTATGTAACTCCTTATCATTGCAGGTACATGATCTAATTTGGGATGAATATAAAGTAATATGAACAAAAACAAATCAGGGTTTCCCATCAACTATTTACAATCACCTAACACTACAATATAGGACAAGCAATATTAAGTCATTTAAGACAATTATCACATTACAACTAATCGATAAAGCAAACACGCACAAACATTGTTCACTACTTAGTGGTCAATTGTATTTGTATATACAGAACCAAATTGTCAGAAGTCTTTGACTTGGTAATTTACTTCAAATAAATATCCATTTATTGTCTTTATTACCAGTTTACACAAATCATTCCAAAATGTTTACACAAAATCAATCATACTTAATTAACAATCCTTATCAGCTTGCTGTAATCGGACAAGAACCGGTGCTTTCAATGTGGTATGGTCACCAGTAGCCGCTTTTAGCTCTTCTAGAGTTACTGCCGGTCCCAAGCCCGGGTAATGTGGGGGGGGGGTGGACATGTGTTAAGCAACCGTATCCCGTAGATAACTAACTCGCTGAAAAACACGCCAACCAAAAAATTATCAGTTGGAATAAATCAAATTAAAAAAACGGGGAGGGAACAAAATGATCCTTAAAGAAGGAAACAATAATCAGAATATCAGTGATTCACTAGTGAATACTACAAAAAAGAAATAACATCAGTTTAAAATCATTAGATGTGACGATACTACTAATAAGACTACTACTACTGTAATCATATAAGCAAAATGTCAATTTTATAAAATTAATTAAAAAAAAAACAATTACAAGAACAATGCTCTGTATACAGTATGTTTTTTAATCATTAAACTTCTAGTAAGTTGTTAAGGTATGTCTCTTACTAAAATGAGCAAACGAATTGATCAAGGTGGTTTTGTCATGTGTACTATTGATATCGATAGATATAAGTAGTATGTATCATCAGTCGAAAGTGAAATGTCTAGTGATAGAAAGTTATGAAGATCAATGAAAAGAGAATGAGAACAAAAAATTATTAAGTTTTAGATTGAAATCATGTGAGTCTGTTCATACATGTGAAAATTCGGGAGCTATTCTATAAAGATTTAGTGTATTTATCATTGTTATGTATCTACTAAATATATTCGGTTCACTTTATTCTTATCTTTCTCTAATAGTAAGCTTTCATGTAACTCTTTAATTGTTGACACATCCCTTAAGTAGAGGTTTTAGAAATGTCACTGGTTGAAATCATGAGTCAATTGAAGCTAGACAACCATGGAAAATCTGGAAGCACTGGACGGCCGTTTCGTCCTAGTACGGGACTCCTCAGCAGTGCGCATCCACGATCCCGCACCCCGTGATACTCGGACTCAGGACCTGTCAGTCTCACGCCCGGCGCTTAACCAACTAGACCACTGAGCCGGCATCCAACGGTGTTAATGTCTGACTCCAACCAATCCACGAAGTTGGGCCACCGTACACCATTATTTTCAGGTTTTCCATGGTGGTCTAGCTTCAATTGACTCATGATTTCAACCAGTGAAATTTCTAAAATCTTCACAAAACCCATTCTGATAATAATCATCTGCTTACTAGTGACTGATTTCAGGAAATACTGCTGGAGTTCTAGTGAGAAGCCGACATCTCTTAAGCATTTAAAAATTAAAGTTCATTAATCATGTAATCTGGTATTCATTTGTAATTCAGTAGGTTGGGGGTAGACAAAATTTTGTGTGGGTCAATCACCATTAACATCCTTTGTAGGCATACTGGTCAAGGCAAGCTGTTTAACATTATTTTCACAAGAGGACTCATCATTAATGAAATAAATATGTTTATATTTCTATGAAGTGGGGTTATAGTGGTGAAATCATATTAGTAGCCTATCTTAACATGGACTAAAAAACTATGGAGGATTATTATAATTGCCATTTACTATCATTCTTTTTACTGAACTTCTTCAATAGTGTATACTCATAATATCAATGATGAAAAACTGTTGTCTTTGTCTGATATATCAATCAAAAAAATAATTATATCCTTACTTCTGATTAATTTTAAGGTCATTTAAGAAGCAGTGATAGGTAGCAGCAACCAAATCTGAAATGAAGCGATCACTCATCGATAGCGTTGTTAGATGATTCATTTACACCATGAGATGTGACAAATCATGATGTTTGGTAAATGTTTCTCCATTATTAACATTGAAATCATGTAGGAATAAGGACAACTTCATTTTGAATTAATCAACAATACCAGAAGGACTAGATAGTAATATATCTGCCGATACAAAAATGCAACTACTGAGAAGATTTAAGCAGTATATTTTGGATAGAAAAACATTGTTTCCCAAGTTTATTCATCAAGAGGTAATTCAAGAATGGAAGAATTAGTCTATCTTACATCATTTATGTCAAGAGCAAAGGATGACTGTAAGTCGATGAATAGGTGTTCTGTTTTAATATGTAGTTTCAGGGAAAAAAACCAATCACTGAATATATCATAATATTTCATTTTGGGAAGTATCAAGCAAGAAAAAAATGGGTTTTACATACAGTTTAGCTAATTTCTGCCATGTATATTATGAAATCGATTTGGAACTAAAAATTGAATATTCTGTATGTTTTCATTACCAAAAGTACTCATTGTACATTTATTGCAAAAAAATCAACGAAGTATTTAACTTTGTTTCCATTACAAAGTATCCGACTACATAATCAAAGAGATAAAAAAAACCCTGCTTCAATATGATCAGTATGGATGGGAGATGGATTGTGTAGCTACAATTTATTGTAAATTGAACTTTTTCAAGATATACTATCTACTAATAAATCAATAGTATATATTTTATCTAACAATTTTTAAGGATCTCTGAAGTTGTGTTAACTGAATCATGACATTCATATTGCATAAAACACTCAATATTTAATAATTCCTTTGACTTTGATATTACAATTAATATTGAAAGATGTTTGTATACTGATTTAAATGAACTAGATGTGATTTGAATATTAGTTAACAATACTAGTTCAGCTCTACTTAATATTAACTTTGATAAGGATTATTAATATATGTATAGTTATTATTCAATTTCTTACTCTCATTGTTTGTACACGTCGTGCTTCAGGTGATGAATAATATTGATCATATTCTTGTGGATATCTTCTATCCAAACTTCCAGGTGATACAATTCTTCTCTCTGATCTCATTGTATACGAATGATTTGGTTGATATTGAATTGATAATGGCTTTATTTTGATAGATTATTAATATGATATAATTCTCATTGATACAAGGAAATGAGTATATAAGTACTAAGAATAACTAGATTTAATCATGGACAACATTAATAACGATTATAATGATAAAATAATCTCAACATATAACATTATCAAGCTTGAACATTCAATAGAATTATCATTTACGCTACTAAGCACAGTGGAATGGAAGGATAATATCACAAAAACGAATAATTGATGGATTTTCTATTCTAACTATGAAAATTTATCAAAATGGCAAGCATTAAATTAAAATAGCATACTGATAAAAATATTTTGTTAGTAGTGAAACTTAACAGGCAAATAAACAAGTTATTAATGGTTAAATAAGTGAATTTGACAAGTAGTTAATTCAGTAGTATAAACCGTTCGCTAAAATAAAACATAATGTTAGGATTTTTATTAAAAATGATACATTACAATACATATACAAGTATTAAATGCAAACTTTTCTTAACTATTCATGACGGATGAACGGAAATATCATGCTTTTTAAAACAAAATAAAAGCCTATGGATACATGCCAATTGAGGTTAACCACTTAAGTGATTTTGACATTTCGAAACATTTCGTTGAGATTAGTCATTAGGTTGATATCGAGTCAGCTTTTCTAATGTTGCACAAAATCTTTCAGGGATGCATACTAAGGTTTATTGAATCTTTGGCTATACAGAAACTGAAATCCCCTTTATATGATCAAAAACAATTTGCTCATACTCGTAACCTACCCTGGTAATAATGATTTATTATCCAGAATGATTATCATATTGTTTTTAATGTACTTCATTTTTCTTTGTTTCGACTTACATTTAACCTTTCTAGTTGACCTTTTATTTTTTTGGATTGAAATAATGAATCAATTGAAGCCAGACCACCATGGAAAACCTGGAAGCACTTGACGGCCGTTTCGTCCTAGTACGGGACTCCTCGGTAGTGCGCATCCACGACCTCACACACTGCAAGATCCGAACACAGGACCTATCAGTTTCGCGCCAAGCACTTAACCTACGAGACCAACCAAACCGGTATCCGGTGGTGTTAATTTTATTATTTTTTTATTATTTTATTATTATTCTGTTAAAGATAAATTAATTCCTTCATTTATGAAATCTTTATGATTTAAAACATCAGTTTTAAAAAAAATAATTGTTAAGGGTGATCCAGAAAACTTCTTGTTAAAGACAAGAAAGGCTCATGGAACACTAAGAAGCATTTTATGCAATCAGTGTTCACTTGTAGTTTAGCCAGAAACATCAAGAATGTGAAAAGTCACATGTGGAGTTTCTGATTGGCTGATAACTATACTGCTACTATGTTTAGTAGCATTCTAGAATTTTCTGGAAAACCCAATGACATCTAAAATACTATAAAAACTCTATATTTTCTGGACTAAAGTAAATTGCTTTTCGTATATTTTTCGCCTTTTCTCTCGTGTTCAGGTCGCTGAGTAGTTCTAGCTTGGGGGTTACAAAAATAGCTTATGAACAGAATATAGCGTTCAAATACCAAGACTTATCAATAATGACTATTCTTATGGAATATAAATTTTTAAAAGATTTTTGTTGGGTATAATAAGTTTTGTTTCAATTGTATCGGAAGTATTTTCATTTCGTCAAGGTATTTTTTTCATAACAGTTGAGTTCACAAGTTGATCTAAGCTGTATTACCGTTGGAAATCTGGGCTCACTGGACGGTTGTTTCGTCCTAGTACGAGATTCCTCAACAGTGTGCAATCATGAGCCCGAGCCTGAGACTCGAACTTAGGACCTTCAGTCACGTACATGAGTATGTAACCTATAGCCCAACAATAGCTTGCTTCAAGATGAATTTCCTCTAGTTCTAGTGGGAAGCTATGTCGGGTATAAAACAGTTACTCACCAAAGACAATGGATGAAATGTGCAAGATCATGGATCGATTGAAGTTAGACATTAATAACCTTAGATGCCGGGCCACTGGTCTAGTGATTAGGTGTTCGTGTGAGATCAGGGGTCCTGAGCCCGGGTCCCGCACGCGGAATTGTGGATGCACATTGCTGAGACGTCTTTTACTAGGACGAAACGACCATCCAATGCTCCCGAGTTTTCACTGGTCGTCTAACTTACATTGACTGATGAATTTAACTGTTAAAAATATACTACCATCTTCACAAGTTCTTTTGTTAGTAATTTTCTTACTTAAAGAATTATATTACTTAAGTATCTGCTAAGCACTTGATATTCGTTAGAGAAGTAGTTGACAAAATTCCGGTGTATATCCCTTTGAACTGTAAGAAAGACATTGAGTTTTAATAAGTACTTAAGGTTAATCTTTATCGATTATTACTGTATGAAATGAATGCCAATGTGTAGATGTATTGAATCACAAGTTCAATCACGTCAGTTTTGTAGAGTATATGTTAAAATCTTTAGTCATTAAACTCTGTCCAAAAGATGATCTTTCTAGGCAAAAACTATTCAGTATACTTTATTAATGAAAAAGAAGAATGTTTAATTTGGAAATGAAAATATGGCGTTGCTGTATTGTCATTTCAGAGACCAAGTGTAAGAAAGAGATCGTATTAAGTAAACCATTTTACACATAACATGTATACATGATTATTAACTTTCAATAACCGACAGTTGTATGAGATTATTGAGGGTTAAATTTTCTGTCAGAGAATATTTGGAGCACATTTAGAATTAGCATAACACATTACAGATCAAATGAAGAGTTTACACACTGCTAGATTCTACTAAGCAATATCTCATTATTCAAAAACCATTTCTGGCGTGTTTTTATGAGTAACGTTGACTGTATACAGTTGAATTACTTTATCAATGTGTTACATTGTACATAAATGAAATATGTTTCATACACATAGTTCCCTTTATGAAGTTACAAAGAGTAAGAACGAAGATTGGTACAGTTCATAATGTTGTTAGGTGGTCTTTGGATAAAAGCTTAGACTGCAGTGTGGGTGAAACGAGATATTGGTTTGTGATATCAACTAGTTTATATTTAAACCAGACTTTCTTTTCTTCACTTACTGGGTGCACTAATCTGCACCAATCTTCGTTCTTGTTCTCTTTGAAATATATTTAGTTTATCCTTACAAAAGATCATTGTCTACTGTAATGAAACGATAATTATAACGATGGTCATACTATATTTTCTATAAACATTAATAGTTAAGTCGATTCAGGACAAGGAAATAAATGAAAAGACTATCTACATTAAAGATTAAATTCGACTAGAAAACCATTGGTAACCAGTTAGCTCATGCCATAGTTTAAGGTTCTTCATCAGCCCAAATACAAATTCATGAAAGAAATCAAATGTAGACCTGGTGAGACCATAATTTATAGACGACCTTTGAGTAACGCTAAAATGACCTTGAAAATATCCATCTACTTACTAGGGTTAAATAAGGGTTATAAATTAGTGCGAGGGAATAGGATTAGGATTTACAGTTGAACGTTCGGGTTAAAAATTATATTTAATGTTTTCATCACGAACTGACATCAGCTATAATGCCAAATTGGTATTTAGCCAAAATCCGAGACCTGCTATCTTAAATCGGATTGGTTTGTTCATAAATTATAGTCTCGCCACAGAACCTAAAGCGGTTGGATTATGTATTTAACCTTCAATATGACATCAAGTGGTTCACGTTTCTTAGATGAGATATCATTCATTCATCGTCAATTACTTCACATCTTACACCCAGTATACCAGAAATTTACCATGAAAAAAAAAACTAAACCACTTCCAGGTATTTTCTGATTTTCAATGATGATTCTAGATGAAGTCAGTCTGTACTTTAACATATCTTTACGGTGTGAACATCATCCGTCATGAACCTCTGATATTAGTAAGAAAATATGTCATTCCGACAATATATATATTACAAGAGGTGACTCTATTATTATGAAATTCTTTCAAAAGTCATTGAAGTTATTCGAATGAACTTGAAGTAAATGAAACTATTCATAATTCAACACTGAATCTAAATAAACTTGGATAAATAAGACAAACTATCTACATCTTAATATACTACTTAAATTTGTGTTAGTTAGTAATATAATGTTACAAAGCTCTATATCAATACCATATCATTGTTAGACTTGTAATTCATCAGTAAGTAAATGAGAAGAAAAAAGACTGTTTCATAAAGAATCAATTTATGTTCTGGGTATTCTTTATTAGATAAGTAAATAAGTATGTAAATATAAATGATGCATCAGAAACATAGAGTCATTCTAACTTCAAATTAAACATAAAGAAGGCAAGCAGCTTTCATGGATTATTTGCATTTAAAACACAAAATTAAAAAAATAATGAAAGATATATTGGTTAGTTAATTAAAAATGATACAACATATAACCATATAATGGTGTTATGTTTAGTTATGAAGGAAGCAAACTCTTCTAGAAATTACCATATGGGGGGGGGTTGTGGAGAATTTTACAGTTGATTTCATGAGTCAATTGAAGCTAGACCACCATGGAAAACCTAGAAACACTAAACGGTCGTTTCGTCCTATCAAAGGAATTCTTAGTAGTGCGTAACCACGATCCCGCCTCGTAAGATTCGGACCTAGGATTTATTAGTCTTACGCTCGAACGCTTAACCTATAGACCATTGAGTCAGCCGGCTTTCAACGGTGTTAATATCTAACTTCAACCAACCTACGAGATTGAGACACCAGCTCCGTCTTCTAGAAATGTTTGATTGCTGACTCGATAGTATTGAAAATTTACAACTTCATAGTTGTATCATCATTGGTTTGTTTAATTTTACAACTGTAAACAGTATATATTTAATATTTGAATCGATATTGATTACTGTTACTATTAACAACCACATAGTTAGACAAAGAAGCAGTTAGTAGTGAAGCTCACAGTATTCCTCTGGATGATCATCTGTGGAAAGATTAACTTTTTTGTTCAGTTTCTAAATCATGATTTATAGAGAATATGTCTATTTATTTACTTAGGTCTTTGGTAATGCGTTAAACACTATTGACGATAATAAAGAAATTTCTTGAAGACAATTTGATGAACATGCCTTGAATATTCAGTTTAATGACAACATCAGCATCATTACCAAAGTTTGCTAAGTATCAATGTTTAATTGGATACTGAAACTATCCCGGAGAAATAACAATGTAAGGTAACGTAATACTGAAAATATCAAGTACCTTATTATTTCTGCAATTCGGTAATGTGATTAAACATTGTTATAACTGGATTCAAGTATAGGTAAAAATGAAAAACAAAACTAAATCACCCATTTTTTACTACAAAAATGCATAGATTTAAGGGATTAAGTTGAACCATCTTATAAATCAATCAAGCTATATAGGTATCAAGCAATGTATGGTGTATTAGTTGAAGTGAAATTTAATATAGATCTATGTATGTACTTATTTATCTACTTTTTAGCGCTTTGTTAGTCTATGCGTGATCATTTCATTACCTTACCTCTGTGTTATAATATCCAACAGTATCGTTGAAATGTCCATGATCATAATCTGTAAATTTGTCACCGGGATTTATTGAATTCATTAAATCCAATCGGCGGATACCTATCTGATTTTTTTCATCTAATTTATCTTGTCTTTGGTGATGATCCATAGGGGATAGAAGTGGTGGATTACTTGGTCGTGTCGGTTTTTGCGATGACAACTGATGTTGGGTAGAAAGAAAATCTGATGTTAAATAAAGCTTCTTTTGTTCATGATAATTATTAGTTGGGTAACTTTGTGATCTAATCGATAGATTAGGTGTTGAGTGTTCACTTCTTGTTAAATAATATTGTTGACAATTCATGTTTAATGGCTGAATAGTTGTATCTCGACTATTTAATTCGTCTTTCCAATAAGTTTCTCTGTTGGATACCACACTGTCGACTATAGCTGACGCTGCAAACTCCTTTGCCTAATATACGATAAGGACATTTATTTATTTATGTACATAGATTAATGTATAGTGTAGTATTAGAGTTTTAAAAGGGGATGTGGGGACTTGCTTCCGGTAGAAAAAACAACATTATTGCTTTACTATGATTTAAAATCGATATTTCATTATTAGCTAATTCTGATTGACAGTAAACTGTAACTTGTTGCATTGGCTAACTTTTTAAAACATTTTAACTACTGAAATAAATTAAGTAGTTAAAGTTTGATGAAACATTTTACTGACTGTAAATCATCATTTCTTCTCTGAAGCACATACAGTTTAGTTCTAGTTAATGCACTCACTTTAGACAGCACCTTAAAATAGACTATTTACATATTGAAGTCGCTTTCACAGCGAACTTAAGTAACATACAGAATCATTAGAAAACTGTAGTACACTGAACGGCTGTTTAGTCCTGTCTTGGGACACAAATCAACGGTGTTTATCCACGACCACAAGTAAAATTCAACTTAAAATATACAGATACAATGGCAATTATGACGTCATTCGGTCACACAGATAAAGTACAGAAGTTTATATTTTCATTTTTGATGAATTCTATGTGCAGATAAACCATCTTTCAATGCTATAAGAGACATCATTTTCTTTTTCCAGTAGTTAGAGAATCCTCTTGAAGTTGGTCAATAAAATGGTGGTTACTGATAGACTTAAAGATCTTAGGTTGGGTCCAAGTTGATATTACAAAGTTTCGTTGTAGAGGAGCCTCAGACTAAGACGAAACAGCTTTTCAGTGTATTCTTCAAGGTAAATAATTTGCACAAACTACCAAACTACTATTTTCAAACCATCAATTTAAATGTCTCATTTTAGTTCATTGTTACGGTTACGTTGTGATAGCTTGGTGGGTCGTTTGATGAAAAGTAATTTCCTTATATAATATATAATACTTGTACTAACTGAAACTCTTGATAAAGAGCATAAAAGTGTTATTATTAGTGAGTGTAAACATGAAACAGGAAAATCACACAGAATTATAACAATCGTGACACAACACAAGTGATCAAAAGAAGAGAAACATGCAACATGGTGCATTCACTTCATATCATTGTTAGGGAACTCATTTTAATCTCAATATGCATTGTAAATTTGTCTTGACAGATATTATGCACACATGCATACACATGAAATTTTGTGTGTTTAATGTGTATAGGTATGCATTTGAAATCAGTAATTATGTGGGAAAGGGGAATAAAAGAAGAAATAGAGTAAAGAAAAAAAACTATTTTTTTGAGGTGGAGGGGGGAAGGGGTGAAACATTCTCAGAAAGATAATACTAACCTTTAATGCAGTTCGTAATTCTTGACTGTTTGCATAAACATGCTTATCATTTTCCTAAATAAATTGGAATATTTTTCTATTTGTCATACAGAAATTTTGTTTTAATTTGCTTAAATTTATCATTAATAGATTAAACTAAATTTTCGGAACTACATTAATAAAATTGATCAAATTTATAATGAAGCAAATGTCTCACGCTTTAATTGGGTTGGTGGATATGAAGGATCCATCTAAGGGAGTTAGAAAATCCTGATTCCAAACCAATGATCCACATGGGTTGGCTCCAGGATCCTAAGGAAACTAATGGAGTAGAAACCAACTATTGGTCATCGGCTACCATGAGACTGTATCTTTTGACGTTGCTCCGCCGCCTTGTGGATCAGACCTTTAGGTCGAAGGCTCGGGGTATGGCCCCTTAAGAAAACCACATGTTTCGGTCTGGGCACACGGTCACTATCACATCCCACACACAAATCAAGTGATTTGTGTGGCGCATACGTATTTGGTGTCCCTTTGTACCAATATTTATGTGTTCAAATAAATAAAAAATAATAATGACGACAATCACATTAAAAATTATTTACTTTTATTGTTAAATTATCACATGCATCACCAATAATAGAATATTTGAAACCATTACTTTTTAGACTGTAATAATCAAAGATTAGATTTCTAACAGTAATCCTCTATTGATTTCATTTTGAAGTAGAACTGAGATATTGAAGGAAACTGTTAAATCTAATAGGAAAAAGCAAATCTTTCCTATTTAAGTTGTGGTTATGTAACCGTATGATATTTAGGTATACAATGAAAAAGTGGTATTAGGATGCAGGAAAGGTTTAATCATAAGTATAGACCACTCAGATATTCTCTTCTGTACTTCAGTACTGATCATAGTACTACCTTGTTGAGTTTAAGTTTTGTAATTACCCGACTAAATTGTATTCAGTGAACATTTGTTCTTTTAAGCTTCATTATACCAGGCAAACTGGTTGGAGCGAAATGCGACTATAAGCAGTAAACTTAGAGCCAGAGAGAGAAGTCATACTGCTGACAGTACAAAAGTGTGACTATAATAGAGTGCTTCCCTCGGATGACTAACTTCTTCAGTGGTGTTTTCTTACCATAATGAAAGAAGAGGGTTAGAAATAGCACTTATCACTTTGTACCATGGAGTTTCGTAGTATTCACTGAAGCTTTTAGAGTATGGGACTGACCAACATAAAACTACTCGTAAAAAGGCTGTATGTAACCAGCCTCAAGCAGTTGTCTTTTAAGTACTGCAGTCAAGTTAGGTGATCGTCAGAACCACTACTAACATGGTTGGTTTTACAGGTACCACGGAAAAAGTGTATGCAGATGAGAAGTAACAGTTCTCATATATCTAACTGCAACATTCTCTATTCCAGTTGAAATTTTAGACAACCATATGAATGACAGAAAATAGAAATAAATTTTATACATATTTCTTCAGAGATTTCCGATCAGAATAATCAATTTTTATACTCCTAATTTTCATCACTGAATAACATTCGAAATCTGTTTGATAGACGTTCACATATCAAACCGGGAAGAAACAATGCTGGTCAACTCCACTGCGTTCTACCGGTTTTATTTTAACAATCTAGTTATTGCAGAAGCAGTGATGCAGAGACTGAAAGCCCCGATTTTGCTAGTGATCAAACCAAAAAAATTTGGATTCTTCATGTGAACAACACATTCGTCATCGTGAAAACAGACGAGCTGGAAAACACCTACAATCTGATGAACAACGTCTTTGATGACATCTAGTTCAAAATGGAACAGGAGCCAAACGACAAACTACCATTCTTAGATGCAATAATTATCAGAACCGACACGGGAAAACTGGAGGCTCACATATATTGGAAGCCGACCAACACAGATCAAACTTTAAATTACAGTAGCGACAACCCAAGAGCTCACAAAACCAACTGCATACAAACCTTGTTCAAGAAGGCGAGGACACAGTGTAACACACTTGCAGCGCGGAGAAGTGAAGAAAAATGTCTGAAGATTATCTTTCAAAAGAACGACTACTCAATCAACCTCATCAAAAAATACCAACCAAACGCAGCGGCAGGAACAAAATCAAGCACAGAAACCAACAAAGTGATCATCTCATGATATCAGAAATTACAACGAGATTGTTGAAGCCTTTTAGAATAGATGTAGCATACAAACCAGTAAAATCACTTCAATCAATCCTATGCAAACCAAAGGATGAAATGAAAAAAGAAAGAAAAACCGAATATCATATACAAAATAAATTGTTCCGAGTGCGAAAAACACTACATCTGACAAAGCGGACGCGCTTTTCATCTTCGCATACACGAACATTAGTTAACGGTCAAACGCAATGACATATCCTCGCTTACATCAATGCATGTGGACAACTGCGAACACAAAGTCGACTCGGAAAATTTTGAGAGCTTGAATAGATGCAGTTCTAAAAACAGAGAATTTTTAAAAGCTTGGCACTCAGGTCAATCAACAAACACATTGAAGACGATCAACTTTATCAATCATTCACAAAAACTACTGACAAATATAGGACCAAAAATCAAATCAATGCAAGATACATTCAAAATAAAGAAGCAAACCGTAACAGGTTAAATGTCAACAATAACCAATTAATATTGAGGTGTACAGGATAAGCTGTGAGCCATATGTGGAGAAATTCAAACACTTCACTTCTACCTAACGTTTGTGCTGATGATGTCGTTCAGAGTAACGATGAAAGCTTCACGATCAAACCATCAAGTTCACAGAACAAAACTTCATCAAAATCATCCACCTGAGATACAAATATTCTCTACCATCTCAATATTTAGTTTATGTAAGATATTTTGAAACTGTAAGCAACAATTAGTTACCTATTCAGTGCTTCCAGGTTTTCCATGGTGATCTGGCTTCAATTGACTCAATTTCTACAAAACTCCTTCTGATACTAGTTAATTGTGTACCTTCGATCGATTCAATCGATTTATTCCCACAGAAACATCGCTATTCTCAACATTTTCTATGTTGTATTCAGTTCATCTAAAAACGCTATATATTATGGTAATTTCTGTCTCAGCCAACCATAACCGTTCACTATGAACGTGTTAATATAATATATCTAAATGAAAAACACCCATAAATATACTGAATGTTTACATTATAAAATGAAATCTCTAGCGAAAATTCAATATTATGGTGTATCAAGCATCTATCAAATGAAATAACTATGAAAATGATCAAACTTTCAGAATACAACACATTCATTTATCACCGGAAATATTATGAATAAACTCATATGTATCTATTACAGTGAATATTAATCTTTCAAGATTTGAATATTACACTTTACGGGTAGAATATTCAAAGAATTCATTAGTAATAACTTTCTCATATGATTAGAAAAATGAAAAAAATAAGTTATTTGAAGCTAGATCATCATGGGAAATCTTGAAACACTGAACAATTATTTCGTCCTAGTATGAGACTCTTCAGCAGTGAACATTCATGATCCTACACCCTGCGAGATTTGAACTCAGTTCATATCAGTCTCTTCTTTTTGTAAATGTATTGACCAATTGATGTTTATGGTTAATATATTACTTTTAATAAGCTATACACTTATTGAAATGATACATACACAGTAAATAAATAAGAGTATAATGTAATTTTATATTGTTCAAAATGATTTAACTTACATCAGTTTCTTTTCTATCTATAGTCGGTGGTCTATTTGGTTTAATTGAATGATTCACATAAATAGGATTATTTGGATCAGATGACATTTTAGTTGGAATTGCTGGTGGTGCAATAATTTCAGTAGAATATATTATATCAATATCTTCTTCTGGTCTTTTAAGTTGTTGTAATGAATCAGCAATTGACTAGAAATAGTAAAATTTGAAGGAAATAAACAAATAAATGATTAATATCAAACGAGGTTTTGTGGATATTATAGTAATTTTAATAGTTGAGATCGTGAATTAACTGAAGCTAGAAAACCTTTGAAAACCTGGAAGCCCTAGACGGACGTTTCGTCCTATTGTAGGATTCCTCAAAAGGTATTTCCTGGAGTTTCAGTAAGGAGCAGGAAATAGTGGAGTTCAATCGAGTCTGTTGTGAGATAGTAATTCACTGAAGACAATGGTGCATGTGTCGCTCAATTTCGTGGATTAGTTGAGGTTAGGCTTTAACACAGTTAGATACAGGGCGGCTAGATGGTCTAGAGATTAAGCGTTCGTGCGCGAGACCGATAGATCCAGGGTTCAAAACACGCAAGGCAGAATAAGGGTTACTGCTGAGGAGTTCCTCGATAGGACGAAGCGGCCGCCCAGTGCTTTCATATTTTCCATGGTTGTCTACCTTCAATTGACTCATGCTCTCAATTGTTTAAAGTAAATGATTATTTAGTAAATGATCGAATCAAATTTATGGATAATTGGACATTCTTACGTTGTCTGATAAGTCGTGTAGGTTGAACGCTATATACGATTCCTAAGCTGTTCCCGTAACCCGCAGACTAGAACTACACAGCGACTTGAACTCCAGAGACAAGACACAAGTATGAGAGAAAACACTTTATCCCTAGGTTCATTTTAGTACAGAAAATCAAGGGTATTTATAGATGTTGGCGTCTGTTAAATCAACATCATATTTCAGCCAATCCGTTAACGTCATATTATGCTACCGACCAATGGTAGCACGCCACGCTGGAATTCTCGAACGTTCCATCATACTCTGATTGGCTAAGGCCCTTCGGCTCCTTTTTGGGCCTCTGGAGGCTCCGTTGAAGTTCTCCGGAAGCCGACCCAACATTGTCCAATGAGAATCAATAAAACATGTTAAATTTATGCATCTAAGGGAAAATACGGTTAGCTTTTATTTTATTTTCTAGAAGCCTCTTGAGTTCATGCCTCACCGCTTTCTTTTGACATATATAAATTCATAAACTTAAAATCAATGAATATTGAACAAGTTGAAATTAGTCTGACATACAGGTACCAGGTAAATATTAGCTATAGTCTTTCACGCTCACAGCCACTTTTGGCTTGATCTGGTATAATCATTATTTTCTATTTTATAGCGTAATATGATCTGTTTGGCCTGTATATAAACCAAGTATGTCTGAAATATATGATTTATATAGAAGATACTGATATTGGTTTTCTGGAATAAACCGGCTGAGTTAGTCGAGAGGCTACTATCTCAGAAGACCAGTAAGAACTCAACGTTGACTCCAGACTGATGGTACTGGTGCCAAGGTCGTATTAGTCGGTGTTCTGATTGGTGATTTTATCACGTGATAATTAACAGGACATCAGAACATAACAGAATGCTTAAAATGACAATGGGGAATAATTTTTTGATATCATAAAATAAAAGTGATAGTATTAAACGTATCAGATGCTTGATTTATCTTCTGTAGATAGTACAATAAAGAGAAGACCAACACCATCTGTAAATACTAATACTAAATTACTAATTCGATGGCGCTATACTTACTGGACTAACCAATGAGATTTAAGATAGTGTCCCATAGGTTTTTGTGTTAAATTCATTTATTTATTCATTCATATGGCTACAACGCATTCATGCAGGATAGCTAATGTCAGACTATGATGAATACATTGACTGTGATGTATAAACTTAAAGAAGAACAATATGGAAACTCCTAAAAAATCTTTTAATGCTTATTTTAAGGTTGAGGGGGAAAGATGTTCCCTATTCCAGATGCAATGTCTTCCTTGGTCTTCATCTTTTCCACCTGCTTTCAGGATTCAATGTTAGGGTTAGCTTCGTGATACAGTTTGATGATTTCTTTATTGCATATTCTATCCACATGCAGCATCTATCCCTAATTTTCTATTCAGCGTCGTGATTTCTGAAGAATCACGGTTTCCTGAATGATGCGTGATAACCCTTCTGTATGAATATCTTTCAACTCCCGGGACAGAGTTCAAATGGTCTAGTTAGTTTTTTCTGGTAAGACTTAATTTATAAAGGTTTTTTTCTACGGGATGGTATTGCTGACTCCATGCCCAAACCTCCTCTTTTATCTTAGCACGAGACCGCCATTAACACTTGATCCTTTCAGTACTCTTTAAACGTGTGTTTATTTATTCTAGCAACTCGGAAAACGTCAGAAATACTAATTACTATTCATTAGAATATCACAACAAATATAATTATGATCAATGGATTATCTATAAATACTTGTATCAACCATCATCAAAAAGGTATAAGTATTTATAAATGATTATCTGCACAAAATACTTAATATCCATTAGTCGAATATCATCAGCAACATCCTACTTTTGAAGAGAATAAATCAACTTTCAACTGAAGAGGAAATTAAGAAAAGACATTAGAAGTGGATAGGACTGACATTGAGGAGATCATTAAACTATATCACAAACCAAACAAAAAAAGCGGAAGATCAAAAAACACACACCACATTAAGAATTTGAAACAGACATAGAAAAAACGAATAGTAACTAGAAACAACTGGAAAGGATTACATAGGACATGATTGAATGAAGACTACTGGTGAACAGCCTATACTCCTCCATGTAAAGTAACAAGCGTAAATAATGAATATTGAATATAGAACAGTACAATATAGATAGGTCTTAGGTTCGAATCTCGCGGGGTGCAGGATCGTGGATGCGCACTTCTCAGGAGTCCCATACTAGGACGAAACGGCTGTCCAGTGCTTCCAGATTTTCCATGGTGATCTAGCTTCAGTTGACTCATGATTTCAATCAGTGAAATTTCTAAAATCTCCACAAAACCCCTTCTGATAATATAGATTAGTTTACATTTAGTAATCAGTAACTAATTCACATGGCATATATGTATTCTAACATTAAAAAATATGTGTGCTTAACATAATTTTAAAGTAAAATATACAATGAATAAATTGAATTTTTATACATTAACATTTAAAACAAAGTGGGGTTTTTCTTATTTTCTTCATAGAAGTTTACATTCATGTGTCATTGAGAAAAAAAAACGGATCTTTTTTTCTATTTTTCGTAACATGTGAACATGAAAATTTTTTATTATTTCGATTATGTAATGCATACAGTTAGTTACATTTACTGGGTATAGTTTTACTTAAATCTTCCAACAGAGATGGATGGTGATTAGTATGTTTCGTCTTATTTAGAACTCGTCAGTTGGATGTACCTACATCTCAGGATTCATGTACACTCTAGAACTCGAACTTAATACCGTTCACTTCAAACATTTTCGATTATTCATTGCTAGGCACTATATATATTTGCTTAGAACGCTTGTGAATTAAAGCAATATCGAGGCAATTCTCAGAGAATGTACATATGCAAATAACAAACTTATGAATTTCAGTCCTAAAAACATCAATGGGAAGATTCAAGTAAATAATACTAAGTGAATTAAAACTTAACCCTATTGCACAAGCAAGTGGCTATCAGAAATCATCAGGTAGATGGATAACATGATGGCGTTTGAAGCGAACGGTACTATCCATTATCCATTTCTACTCATATAGCTAGGTTATCAAATATTTGCTTTACTAATGAGCATGTTTAAACAGTCAATGGTATTTTTGTTAATTACTCAATTGTTTGTAGGTCATGGCTGATTTATCAAAACAGAGTGCCACTTATTGAACTTAAATGCTTAGGATTTATAATTAGCGTTAGAGTTACGATAGAGACCTTAATTATCTATTACACCAACCATTAAACATTATCACAATACGAAAGTGTAAACTATGTCAACACATTAAAGATCATTCCTCTATGTTTTTCGTCCTTTGATTGTCTGAAAGAGATCATGAATTTGTCATTCAAACTTGTCGTTATTATTTAAGCCTACCAATTGTTATTTTCTATTATTAAGATATGTAAAGTGACGGGTTTGTGTCATCTACTTGATTCATATTTACTATTAGACAGGACACATATAACGTTAACAGAATATATAATCGATTGTAGTTAAGCTGACAGATAAAGCAGTCAGAAATGATAACTGTTAATCATAAAATGAACATAATTGTTGACCGTTTGGTTAAATTATAGTATAGAGATGAAGCAATCAGAAGTGAGGAAATGACCTTCATGTTTTAGTGAGAAATTCCAGAACAAATGAATTTTATCTTTCATCACGTTAATTTAGGATTGAAAATGGCACTAGAAGTATCAACGTACTCAACACTTTGTATTCAGATAATATATATATATATATATATAACACATAATTAAACACTGATTCTTGATCCTAAGCCTAAACTCTTAATTCTAGCTTAAATCTAAAGTTACTACTGTTCAGCCCGTAATGCTATGCTCCTTATTCCCAACACAAATCTTTGACTTCAGCCAGGAAAAATTTGGGGACTCCTAAAAGTCGTTTTATTTCTAGATACAAGTTCGAGAAGACCGCTGTTCTAGATGTGTGTGAAAGAATTTATATAACATCGTTTTATTGATTTACGGACAGATTAACTCTCAAAGGAGTTTAATAGATCCATTAATTATATAAAATGTATCTATATACTACAATATTATTGTTTTATTTTACTTCAACCATCGATTTACAAAACTGTTTACTAATGAACTAACAGTTGTCTAAATATTCATCATGACTCCTTCAAACTCGTGCTTACGGTATGTGCTTATCGAATCACTTTATAAAGTAAATGAAGTAAATAAAGTAAATTCACCATTTATAACCATACTCTACATCACTTCTAAACAGTCTAATATGTAATGTCGATCTGTATGTTATGAATAACTCGAGAATAACTGTGAAATCACAAAGCCTTAACTGAAAACAAAAATCGCAGTAACCACAAGTTCACGAGCGAGACCGAAGGTCATGTGTTCGAATCCCGTAAGTGTGATCATAAATGTGTACTGCTGAAGAGTCCAGTGCTTCCAGGTTTTCAATGGTGATCTAACATTAATCGATTCATGATCTCAATCAAAAATTTAATAATCTTCCCAACCTTATACTGATTATTACGTAATACTTATTGTTTCAGTGCAATATTACAAATCATTAAAAAAAATCAATACTTGGTTTATGCCACAGATACCAACATTATTGTAACTGTGTGGATTATTTCTCAGTTTTTTTTCTGGTTTAAGAAAAATAAAACATTTACATCGTACAGTTTGTTTGCTTTCCGTTTTTCTCTCTTTCATTCTCTCTCACACACACACACTCTTGATAAAAATGTATGTGCACCATATGAGCAAAAAAACAAAAGAGTAATGAGCAGTTCATAAATCATTTATTCAAAATTCAATTTCAAAGTGCATTTGTATACTTAAACAAACAACAACAGAAAAATCAATGATTGAACACAGAAAAAAAAATTTTGGAATTCAATTTTAGTGGCCCGTTATCTAATTCTAATTTGATAATATGTGGGCTTAACATAGCAACTGATACTACAAAACTAAATTTTTTTTTGCTGTTTCAGGATTGTTTCTGTTATCTGTGATATGTGTCTTTTTTTCTTACAAGTCACTTTATGATACTGTTTGATTGGGAAGTGATCATGTATGTTTGTCTGATCTGTTTAATACTGATCGGATTCAACTGG